AAACCTAAATCAGAAAATGTCGTTTAAACGACTTTTTCTGATTTAGGTTTTCACACTGAATACAAAGAAAAAAAACAGAAAGTTATACGACCTCATGTAACTTTGGAATTTGGTAAAAAAGGGGCTTTCACTCACAGCCAATTTTCCAGTTTTTCGCCACAGAAGGTTTTTGAGTAGGTGAAACATATATATTCTGAATCAGCTCGACGAACTCTATCCAACCATATATAATTTATCGAGAAAAAAAGTTGTGCTCCTCTTTTGAATTACGGGCATCTTACAAACATACATTTCAAAACAATCATTTTATCATAGTATACAAACAGCAAAGATAAGTTTGATTTTCATCATATAAAACGATTTTTGGTCAAATATCTTGATATATATATATATCGCTGATTACATATTTAAACATAAACCAATATTATTTTTTAGCTCTTAAAAGAATGTTGAATTAGTCTAATACTTAGAGATGTTTTCTGATTTATTTTATTAGTTAATATATAGAATATTTCTCTCTCTCTTTCTTTCATCGATCTCTTTCTTTTTGTAAGCACGAATTGTGCATGACATTGTTCCACCGATAAAATAGACTAAGAAAAAGTAATGACATATTCATGTCATGTTGAATGTTATCCTTTTTCTTCTTTTCCCTCTAAATCTAGTGTGTGAGAAAAATGAAAAGAAATACTTTGCAAGCAAAGAACAAAACAAAATCCTAGTAACTAACAATTGAGAACAGAAAAAGAGACTGGTTTCAACTTTTAATTCAGATCTCGTTTATATCATTAAATTTTTCGTTCATGTTCCAGTTTACTGTGAGAAAAAAACAAAAATATGATTTCTCTCAAGGAATTCCAAATAATAGAAAAAAATGTTCCATCAATGAAGGAGTATATAGTTATTGATGCTAGTTCATAGGATGGCATGAAAAAGAGCACTTGATATTTTCATCGCTATAGTTGTTATTCAACATTATGTCAACAGCAATACGTTGCACATCAAATTGAACTCATACACGATTATTACGTCTGATACAATCAGTGATGAAAGTACTCTTGTCAACAAAACAACTGCTTCCAGCTAGTTAACCAAAATATTGAATTACATTAAAAATTGGCATAAAGGAAAGATTTCTCAAAAGATTCTATTGAACATATTCGCAAAACGCTAATTTACTTACTGAGATTTTCTTGATCATTTTTCTTGTTAAAATATGTTTGAATTTTAATCAACAACACGACGTGGAGTGAACTTGAAACTAAACTTGGATAATACATGATTAATTCTTCCGATTCTTTCCTTTCCTTCATTCCCTCTCCCCTGAAACCGTTCAAGATAATCTAAAAGAACACACCAACAAAAAACCTCTGTTAAACGAGATTGCTAAAAAAACGATTCTATAGCAAAAATGTATGATCCACTTTGTTTTAAGCCACGCACAATGCAAAATTAAAACAAAATTTTTTTCTTAATTTATTATACACTGTTGGATAGAACTCATCGAGTTAATTAATAAAATATATTTTTTAATTTTTCAAAATATGTTTTTCATATCGAAAAAGTCGAGTGAGTCGACTAATGTATACTTTTGAAATTTCTAGTTGATTTTCAGTTTGGGATGGAAATTTATACTTTTTGAACGTGAAAGTTCGCAAAAAAAATTGAAGCATTCGGATAGGATAGAAATATACATTATTCGACTTAGTTTTTGATCCTGAATATAATATTTTTATTGCATAAAAATTGAGTTCTAATAGAGAAAATTGAGAATTACGGGCAGAATCTCGATTTTTCCATTGTGCGCACGTTACATTTTCTCAAAAATGAAGCAAAAATAATGAATTTGTTTTTTTTAATTCAAAAGTGAATATAAAAAATAATAACAATGAAGTACACTATTTTTAACAAAGTTTAAAATTCACTCTGAAAATTCGTACTGTTCCATCATTTGAACAACCGGCTACATGAAATAATGTCGATGAATCTTTTTTCGGACGAATACATAAACTATTTACAGTCAAATGAAAACCCATTCTAAATTAATATCAAATGTATTTATTTACTAAGACAATATTTTTAGTGACTTACGGTTGAGATATAGAGATGAGATGTTGCCAAGATTGTTTTTCATTCCATGAATGAAATAAAATAGAACCATTATCAAGACCAACAACTACTATATACCTGAAACGAGAATTTATCTCTTATACATACACACATACAACAACAAAAGATGGACAAAGTTTTCTTTGAATACAATAGAAAAACTAAAAGGAAAACTGTTCGTTGAATCTATTATCAGCAGAGTTATCATCTTTTCAGCCTTTTCAGCAAGGTTGAAAAGTTTCTGGAAGGGAAATAATAGATACAGTGTGTAGTCAAGCGGTTTGCTCACCCATTTTATTTCATCATTTTGTAGCAGACACTTCAGAGTATATGTTTCAAAGATTTTTTGAGTTTCCGGATTTGTAATTTTCAAAAAAGTATATTTTTTCAGACTTCTTGCCTCATTTTTAAAATTTTATTAGAAACTTCGATTCTAGGGTAGTTTGATAGAGGACATTAAATTGTAAGATTCAAAAAAGTTTTCGAATGAAGTTTTGCAAAAAATAACTTTTGCATACCCGATGGGATTTCAGAGCTAAAGATATTTTGGAAAATGCCTTACGGCTAGTTTCGGCATTTCAACCCAGAACAAAACACTGAGTACAAAGGTTGTAACCATTTTTTAGATTTTAAAATTGTGGAAATTTTAAAATTTTTTTCGATCATGTCCAATTTTTGAGCACAGAACTATTATTAAAAAATTCCTGTTTCATCATACAAATTTGATTCTTGTGCAGATCGATAGAGAAATGTGTGGGGAATATTTACTACAAGAATATATGTCAAAATTTTTGTCTTTTTCTTTCCTGTTATCGACTATTTACTACTAATTAACGTTACACACCAGGAAATTTGCAAAAGTTTTGGACGCGTTTAAAAGTCAATTGAAAAATTTATCATTATCACGTGTTTTTCTCCTAGACAACGTTGAACTTTTTTTTAACACATTGAAAACGTTTGTAGTTCCAACGCATTTCAACGCGTTTATTTTTCGAAAGAAACATTTAAAAGTGCTTACGACGCGTTGAAAAAACGTGGAAAACGGTTTCAACGCGTCAAAAACCACGATTTTAAATGCAAAACTCGTAAAAATAAACGCATTTAAATGCGTTGGAACTACAAACGTTTTCAATGCCTTAAAAAAAGTTCGACATTGTCTAGGAGAAAAATGCGTAAGGATAAATTTTTCAATTGACACGTTTAAACGCATCCAAAACGTTTGTAAATGTTCTGCTGTATAGTTTACTCTACCAGTTTAAAGTCCCATTTGCAAAATACTGACTCAACAAAAAACATCAAGCAACACTTCATCTGATAGAGAATCCCACGAACTACAAGATAGACTATATTTAATTCTGTTTTTAGCCCATGCAAACGTTCAAAATCTTGAAAATCGATGTGAAAAAGATTCACGTGCTCTTAAAACCTGACCAATTCTTTGATGGCAAAACAACAGACTTACTGAGCAGCCAAAACTGAATTCGAAAACTTCTAAAGTAGCCTGTCTTGTAGCCCGTAAAATTTTCTATCAGATGAAGTTCTGCTTGAATTTTTTCGTTGAGTCGTTAGTCCTATGCTCAAAAGTTGAACATGATTTTTCTAAGTAATTAATTTTTTTCTCAGTCAGATAATGTCAGTAAGTCGAGCAAACTTCAGGACATACACTTCCAAGTGTCCTGTGTATACGAGGAAAACCTAAATGAGGGGACGCTCCTCCTTAAATAGAAAATGCTATTCTAAGTGTCTTATAGCCAAAAGTATTAGCACAAAATAGCGCCAAATTTTTTGAACCTCACAGTAGATTTTTTAAACAGTGAAGTTTTTTCCATGTAAAACCTTTTTTTCCTTCATATAAAAAGTTTTTCCAAATGACATAGACGAAATCAGCGCATCAAACTGCATTTTAAATGAAAAACCTGTGATGAAAACTCTCATCTGGGCTTGTCCGCGTAAAAGTCAACTTTTATGTAAGTCCGTAACGTTTTGTGAAAGTTATAGCTCTTCAGCCGAGAAATATACAGAGCTGGGAAACGTCTCATTTTGTAGCCTGAAGATTTTTCTAGCAACTGACTAGTTTAAGTGATATAATATTTTTGGTAAACGCCACTTTCGTACAAAAGGACTTTCACAAAACGACCTTATATTTTTTGGTTGCTTCGCTGAAACTGTGTTTTTTTTTCATTTTTGGAAAAACCTAATTTTTCTAAGTTAAAAGCGTTTATTTTTTGTTTAGAGATTTTATTACGACTGCACAACGACAGCTATTGGTGAAAAAAAAGTTGATTTGTAGAAAAATTCTGATGTCTGTCTGTTAAAAAATATACACTAGGAATAGGCAGGCTAATTTTTCCTGATGGCGCACAAATTGGAGAATATTTTTTTCAAAAATACTGCAAACTCTAAAATAAGCAAAGTCCAAAAAAATCAAATATTTCTTTGTACTGTGTATGCTAGAGAAATCGATGAGCTGTTCCTTTTATGACTATAAAAAAAATACCAGTTCACAGCGCTATTTTGAGTAACTATAAAGTTGAGTTTTTCAACATGTATTTCAATGAGTATAGAATGGAATGATGAGACGTTGTAAAAATCTTGAAAATTTACAGTCAACTGGCCATTTTTAAATTCAGATTCTATTTTGATGAAAACAGATAAATGAATCGTTTAGATAGGGTCATATGTAAATCGGAATCTTTTTCTTATTTTCTGAGATAACCGAGTTAAATTTAAGAGAAAAATTGTTGAAATGAGAAATATTTAACTTGAAAGGCACCCTATCTGTTAGTCCTTCTACAAAAATGATCGATTTTAGAAACGTACTTGTTTTGAATAAATTCTGGTAAAAATGTACATGCTGTAATAGCATCATCCAATTTGAGATAATTTTTATCAGCAACTTCAGGTATTGTTTCTTCTTTATCAACATTCCAGATATGTATCATATGATCTCGTGCACCGGTAGCAAAATATTTATCATCATGAGAAAATGAACATGACCAAATAATACGTTTATGATACGCATTCGTTGGTAAAATACGTTTGAAAAGAATTGCTTGAAAATCTAAAAAGAAATATATATTAAATAACTATAGAAATTTATCTATTTTTTTACATGTATTTAATACATACTTGTTTGATCAATTTTAAATAATGACCATGAACGATCTCTTGAAACAGCTAATAGATAATTTCCTGAATATGAGAAACACATTTTTGCCACAGTAAGTGTATGTAAAACTAGACGAGCAAATGGTTTCCAAGTTAAGGTATTCCAAAGAAATATAGCCGCATCATCAGCTTTGGTTGCCTTCAAAGTTTAATGAAAAATTTAAAATTAAAATCAATAAAATAGATAGATAAATTACTATACTTTGCAAGCTGATGCAATAATTGTGCCAGATGGATTAGCGGCAACAGTATACAATTCATAACCATGTCCATACAACTTTTGAATTTCCGGCCAAAGAGTATTTTGTAGTAAATGTTCTTCAAATGGAGGCTCTAAACAATTGACATTAAATAAAAAAATTTATAAGAAAAGTACTACAATGATATAACACATACCGTTCAAAATTGTTGATTTAAAAAAACCTTCTTTATAAAGTGCATCAACATTTAGCGGTTGTTCATATTCATCCTGATTTCTCATTGTTGTTGTTGTTGTTGTTGTTGCTTCATGATCTCGAACATTCTCATTAAAAATTCCTTTATTTGATAAACCCAATGCTGGAACATTTGCACCTTCTGGTAACGATTGAGAACGCTAGAAATCAGAATATTAAATAATGTAGAAGAGTAAAATATCGTATTAGTCTAATGAATTTACTTTAATATCATCAGTAACATCTATCTTTGTTATTCGTTGAAAATTTTCAAGAAAATTTCTTGGTGCTTCAAATATTCTTAAGATTTTTTCATCAGCACCTGATACAAAACGCATCGAATCAAGCATAGCTAAACATTTCATTTCATAACCATGAATTTGTGGACGACTAATTTCATGCCAAGATGTTACCTAAAGAGAAGAAAAAAAAAAATTAGTCAACATAAAAATATTAAGTTTTAAAATTTTTCTTAATCAATTACTATTTGATTTTTATTATTTTCTCGTTTCCATTCAGCATGTAAACGTGTTGTTTGATCAGTTGAAGCACTTAATAAATAGCGTCCATATTTATCCCAACAGCAATCTTGAACCATTGAAAAATGACCACTATTTAATATTTGTGGAATCAAGTGAATACGATCAGCAGTCTTAAACAAAACAAAACATTTCAAAATATCAATTCTTCTTCAAGAAAGATGATTTACTTTTTCTATTTTCCATAAATGTAATGCTCCCTCATACCCATGACCGAGTATGTATGTTCCACAAGGACTAAACGTACAGCCATAGAAACCAAGAGTATTACCACCAACTTCACCTACGCGAGCCTAAAAAAGAAAAAGAAAAAACACTAATTGTGGCACTTACGATAGAACATTTTCACATGTCATCCTCCGTTTTTAATGATATATGACAATTAATAGAAGATAATGTCCTAATAAAAAGCCTAATTAGGAAAAAGCCTAAAAGGATTTGTACCCATACCTCTTCTTTCAAAAGTTATGAATCTTCCATACTTCAGGTGCCATACCCTACAAAAACAATTTCGATGCGGCACCGCAAAAAATATGATTGGCATTGGTGATGCGCACTGGTGCGCATACCATGTCATGTGTCACTGGTATCGCCAAAAATCGATGTGCACCGGCACCCGGGCAATGCCAAACAATGCCAAATTGGCATCGAAGCGCATCGATGCCGATTTTTCACTGCAGTTGCACTAAAAATATTATAACTGTTCAAATATGGCGAATTAAATGCTGAAATTTTTTTCTGTGATTCTGCTAATAGTCTAATAATATCACAGAAAGTTTTAGCTTTCTAACTTTTCGCTCAAGAAGGTTGAAACTTTCTGTGATATTAGTTGATCATTAGCAGAATCACAGAAAACCATTTCAGCACTTAATTCGCTATATTTGAACAGTTATGACATATTTAGTTGTCTCTTGTAGTTAGTTATGATATATTTGAAATGCCTCAGGTACCTGAGGCATGGAAATAGAAAAAGATTCATAACTTTTGAAAGAAGAGTCATGGACTCAAATCCTTTTAGGCTTTTTATTAGGACACTATCCTATATTAATTGCCATATATCATTAAAAACGGAGGATAACATGCGACAACGTTCCCTCGTTAGAAAAATCCCACTGCAATGACACTCAAAACATTCTTCTTTTGAGAATTCTAGACATACTTTATCAACATAAATTTTCTGTTCTTCATCATACATCCATAATATCATTGATTTGTCCATCGATGATGAAAGTAACATATTAAACAGATTTCCTTCTACGACAAGGATAAACAAAGTAAAATAAAATCAAACAATTCTCATTGTTTACCATCGTTTTTTCCTTGCTGTGGAAACCAGCATAGTCCATAAACCGCATCTTCGTGACCCAAAAAGACGGAATCAAGTGTCACTTCGACTATTTGAATAATTTCTAAAATGAAATGAAGAATTTCGATTAAGTACTTATGATTCACGAGTGTATTGACAGGTTATCTTTCAAAAATTCAATTTAACATAAACATATTTATTGGTATGTTATAGATTTATGTACAAATACGGTTTTTTCCTTTATATTACCGTTCTTTTTGAATGTAAACGAACTCCGTTTTAATTTCAGTTCTGTTACTTCTATCAACGAAGAAGCTTGTAATTTTTCCGATGCCATTCTCATTTCTTCTTCTTTTATTTCATTTTCAAAAGAAAACTGCCAAACTCGAATATACGTGTCTTGTGAACAACTAGCTACAGACCATTTTCTAGACGCTAAAATAGACAAACAAAAGAGAGATGACGAGTTTAAACGACAAGGAAGAGGTATTACAATGTTTTTGAACTGTTACTGTACGAATCCAGTCTTCATGACCACCTAAGGTATACACATGTTCAATCTAAACGCACAAAACTATATTAGATATTCATAATTCTTTTTTAGAAATAAAAAAAGAAACCCAAAGCAAATTAGGTTAAAAAATAATTATTTACTTTTTAGCACTAACCATAGTTTCAGTAACATAATAAACAAGAATTTTGCTTTTATCAGTCGCCACAAATAAGAAAAATGCTAAATGAGAGAACAACACATTTTCAGAAAATATTATTTTCAATCTAGCGGTCACTATATCAGACAGTAGTGTTGACATACTAGACTTCTTCGATTTATTCAAAAAGAAATGGATTACTTACAGTCGGTATCATCTAATTTTACTAATTCGACTGTAATGGCAAATCCGTTTTTATATTCGATTGTATGAAGACATATTACAGAATCTAAAATTAAAAAACAAATAAATATGTTTTTTGAAAATCAATGTTAAATTTTAAAGTTGAAATAGTTACCTGTTTCTTGTTTCATAATTTTCCAAATTTTTACAGTTGAATCTGCTGAGCCACTGGCAATAAAAATAGTTTTATCATAAATTTGACCACATACTGTTGTTACACTATTCTGATGACCAATTAATGTCGAATAAATTGTATACTAAAATGAACTCCGTACTTGCGCTTCCTCCGATAAAAATCATGTAGTTTACTCATACCTTATCATTATTTCCATTCCATATCACAATTGTTTTATCTACCGATGCTGATACAAAATAATAAATATCATCTGAAAAAAATAGACCAAAAAAAAATAAGATGAGTTTATAACATTCTCAGCTCTACTGAGTTTAAGTTACCTAGTTTCGTTTCGTTCCGGATCCATTTAACACAGTTAACTTTATCTTTATGTCCACAGAATGTGTTTTTAACACAAAATGGAGCTTCCTAAAAGATAAAGATCCAATACAGGACTACAAATGTAAAACTAACTCTAATTACTTCTTCACAAAGTGCTATGCTATTCGTTACAGCATATATTAGTCTTGGTCCATTTTGCCAATCAATTGAATGAGGACAACAGTTACATGCACAACTTATGTAATCGATGTCAATATCAACCTCTAACGCAATTTGCATCTGAAATATAAATTAAGATTACAGATATCTGTAAGGAAAAAATCTATTCGGTATTAACTATTCTATCGGACATTAGTAGACACAGTAGAAGAGGCGCTGCAGTATCTAATGTTAAATATATATCATTCGAAGATCGGACACCAAGGGACTGGATATACAGTACTCGGCAGATCTGTTGCTATATGTTTAAATCAATAAAAAGAAAAGAACTAATGCTCTCTGCCTCCTCGTGAAATTTTTCTTGTCCATCCAACTTCTGTCGACTTTTTTACCTATTTCATGACATACGATAAACAACAAAAAAAATTACTTCTTTGAATTAAACATAAACCAAGAGTTGAAAAACACCTTCCACCATTGTTTCACAACAGATGAAGGCGATGTACAAAACAACGACTAATTTCAAAATACGGATCTTCTTAAGAGAGGCTGGGTAGTCGAGTATTGAGTAATTCCGAGTATCTCGAGTAGGACTCGGACTCGATGCATGTCTACCAGAGACACTGTAAGTTTGCTGATTATCAGAAAAAGAAGATGAGCATTCATAAGTATCAAATCATTGATAGCACAAACGATAAATAGTCATCGAATATGCTAAAATTTACCGGTGTCCAACAACGTACCCAGCACTTGGCCAAGGGTGAGCCATGGCCCACCCGTCAGAAATTTCGTTTTCTTCATTTCACAGTAGAAAAAAATATTTTTATTGAGATCGAAAATAAAAATACAATACAAGAACCTTTTTACTGTTTTCTTTAGCCAAAAGAAAAGGGCTGGCCCACCCCTTACTGAAATCCTAGGTACGTCGCTGCCGGTACCAGAGATTAGAATAAAATTATGTCTACAAATTTGATGAAGACTCGAAATGAATAGTCCATACAAAGATTTCACAAAGCAAAAATCATCAGTACTAAAATACAATGTTTTCAAACATTCGCTTATTTACTTAACTACTTTTTCTTTTCTCTACAGTCACCTTCTCTTCCAATTAAATTTCTAAACTTTAAAATTTAAGCAATAATCATGAAGTTGAAAAGAAACACAACGATATTGATAGCAGAGAAAAAGGCTTTTTCGTCTACTACTAAAAAATGCGATGCTCAGACACATTACTTTTATAAACTTAATTAAAGACTATTGCAGAAATAATAGTGAAAATGGTACGAGAAAAGTAAAAAATTGCAGCATATCAGTGACAGATTGCTTCTGTAAGAATGATGCAAGAGATTCACAAAATAAGGATTCAGAAATGAAATAGCAGAGAAGACACATAACACATTTAACGACAAAACCGCCAAACGAAAACTGGTTTAAATACTTCTGAATCGATCTGATTGGCCAAATTTTGCCATTTCTGATTTCTACTATTGAGTGAAATCTGCAACTTATGCATAAATGCTTTAATTCAATAAAGCAAGATCTTTTTTTGATTACTCAATGACTTCAACGACAATAAATGCTGGACTTATGGACGTCTAATTTGCATTATGCAGCTTTAGTCAACGAGTGAGTCACTTATTCACACTGGTCGCTTACTTGCGCTTAGGATGTCCTCTTCAACCGTAAAAATCTTTCATTTTTTTCTCTCTTTTCCTTGTGAAGTTGATCCCTATTATTATTTCCATCTACTAATGTTCAGGGTGAACTGCTCGAGGAACATTATTTGAATTGACATTACGAACACTAAAGCGATGGCAAGAAGAGCAGTGCTTAAGTATTTGGTTACCACCTTTTGACCCTATGATCTACCAGCCAAGAAAAAAAAGTGCTTCCTTTCGTGATTCTTAGACGTTTTTATTCGGCAGTTTTTCCTTGCCTTAAATACACTGCAAAAGAATTGTTATCAATAATTATCTATTCAAAAGCCAGTGTTCAAATTTATTTTGAATAGATAATTATTGATTACAATTCTTTTGCAGTGTAATTAAGGCAAGGAAAAACTGCCGAAAAAAACGTCTGAGGTCGTAGCAACAGCATCTCTTGGCCGTTAGATCACTAACAGATGTGCTTATTTTTGTTTCATTGTAACATTGAAGAGAAAGTAAATTTGAGACGTACCTATAGAGTCATTTTTAACATTAGTAAACCAAGCTACGTATTACATTAAGAAGCCGACGATGTCCATTCAACATTATCCTATATCGGTTTATTTCAACATTTAGCTTTTCTACTTCACTTTTTTTAGAAAAATTGAACTTATGCTTCGTGATTATTATAGAAAATCTCCAGTTTTGTGAAATCTACAAATTGAGAGATTCAAACGCATAGTCAGATATTCTGTAAATAATGACACATCGTTTGCAAATGTTAAAAACAAGTTCGATGGGTAAGCGGAAGACATCAGGAAAGCTTAGTGTAATTAAAATTTTTGTTGCGTTTTATAGGTGAATCATTAGCTGTATCACCGCGAACACCAGTTAAGAAAAAAACAAAAGGCGATCCAATTGTAACTGGAATCAGACTTAGACCATTTCTCAACAAGTGAGTAGTGTTTGGATTTGACTTTACATTGAATGAAAACTTACAATCGAGAATCTTCACGTCATAGTTACATAACATTGTGATCTTTCTGTCAACAAAGAATAGAAATTATTTCTATGTTTTAGCGAGAAATGTACGAATGGCGATGCTACACCGGCAGTTCGTGTTTGTGAAAATATGATTATTTGTGAACAACAGCGACAACAACAGAATCCAACTACGTTCAAATTTACGAACGCTTTTGATTACACTCAGACCAATGTAAGAGAGAGGATCGCTAAATTTAGTTTTCTACGTTTTTTTGGTTTATTTAGCTTGATGTATATGAAAAAATGATTCGTCCAGCAGTTTACTCAGCGTTACAGGGTTACAACACAACAGTACTCGCTTATGGCCAGACAGCATCAGGCAAAACGCATTCAATCTTTGGTTCGTCTCATGAAGAGGGAATCTTAGGATTAAGCATTGAAGAATTAATTTCTCTTAATCAAAATCAACATTTAAAATTTGAAACAAGTTTTTTTGAAATATATAAAGAAAAAGTTACGGATTTATTAACAATAACTTCATCTGAAATCAAATCAAAAACAACGTTTCTCTCGACAAAAAAACAGTCAAAACAGCCAGCAACATTAGAAATTCGAGAGCATCCAATATTAGGTCCTTACGTTCCAGATTTAAAATATGTACATGTACAAACAAAGGATGATTTTATAAAGGTATGCATCGAGAGAAAGTACGGCTCAAATGTAGTTCACAGTATTTTATATTAGTTTTAATCTTACCGTTACTGTTTTTGTTATCGTTCAGGTTTTAAGTCAAGGACAACAACAGCGTACAGTCGGTACAACAAAAGCCAATCAACGCTCGAGTCGTTCTCATGCTATATTCACAATAAAAATAAGTCGAGTTGACTTACCTAACACAACAACATCAACTATTTCGACAAGGGCAAAATCTTCAGCAATTACAAAGAAATCAAAACCGCAACAACCACAACAAGACTTAGATTTAGATGTAGTTCGATTAAACTTTGTTGATTTAGCAGGTAGTGAGAAATCTCAAGAATATGCACAAGAAAACGAACGATTTGCGGTAAGTACAATATACTTTAATTTTTATTCAACATCAATTATGTATTTATATATCTTGTTAGGAAAGTGTTCATATAAATCAGTCGTTATCTGTTTTACGTGCTGTTATCGATGCTCTTTCACGTGGTCAACCACACGTTCCTTATCGTGATTCAAATTTAACATATTTATTAAAATCGAGTTTGGGTGGTGACTCTAAAACGTATATGTTAGCTACAATTAGCCCATGTCAATCAGTGATTGATGAAACACTCAATACACTCCGTTATGCATCACGTGCTTCAACTATAACTAATGTTCCAAGAATAAAAACACCACATCTCAAACACGAAATTGAACAACTGAGAGAAGAAAATGAAAAATTAAAACATCAAGTTGCTATACTCAAAGAGAATCAACAAAATTTACAACAACAACAGCAGCAACAACAGTTATCTTCATTGAAACTTTCAATGCGTTCAACTTTGATGTTAGCAGATGAATCTGTACAAACAACATTTATTGGTGCAGAAGATCAAGAACAAAAGCAAGAAGAAAAAGATACATTTAATGAGAATGTAAGTTAGAAACACACTGGCACGACTGAGCAGAAATGTGAATAAACAAAAGGACTAAAACTTTAGATATACAATAAAATATTGAAATTATAAATAGTGGGAGAAAACATTATAAACTATTTTTATTTTCATTTTTAGATTTTGGCTCAAATAGAAAATACGTTAAGAAAACCGAAAAAACGTCGTTTTTCAGAAATGCCACTTAAAGAAATTGGTATGCAGAATACTCACATTTAAAGCTTATCTAATTATTTATATCTATTTGTTGTTCTAGAGAATAAAAAAAAGAGATTGGATGAAACAACATTACAACGACGTTTAACAACGCTACTTGGCTCAATTGCTGATGATGTCATGGTACGTTGTAAATTAATTGTTTTGCTTCTGTTTCTTTATTCAATAAATTTAATTCTCATTTTAGGTGATGACTGAATGTACAAATAACACATTGTTAATTGAATCAAAGAGATTGGATATTAAATATAGTTTAGATCACACAACATTTTTTGAATTGATTGAAAAATTAGAAGCAACAATCGACGATAGAGAAATGAACGAAAAACAGGTATATATTATTATTTTACCAATATATTTTTTGTTCTAACTGTATTCTCTTGCTATTTAGATAATGGCAGCAATAATGGGCGTTTTTAGTCAATACTGTCACTTGTCCTCTTAACGTTTTTCATCTTATTTATCTCTTACTGTATAGTAACCTTTTGTTTAAACTTTTCTTTACGGTTTCATACGCATGCGTTTGTTTTTCTAATCTGTTTTGTTTCTTACACTTTTGATACTTTTTTCTTTTTTTATTGCTTGATAGTGTTTATGTCAGATATATACATGTTGTACAAAGCATTTTCCTCTAATGCAAGAGATATAAATAATATTAATAAATAAAATATGTGAATGTTTGAATAAAAGTATACTATTTTAATTTAGTTTTAGTTTTACAGTCGCTTGTCAATTACTAGAGACTCAAACAGAACTAATTTTTGGTAGAATCCAAAGAAGATACCACAACCGGTTTCGACCTATTGTCAAAAGTCTCCTTCGAGAAAGACAGAATTAAGGCACGACGAGTAACACAATTCCATAAAGTATGCTAGTGACGAGCTGTTGCCTTTTTTTGTTATAATAAATACATAAAAAGAAATTTGAAGTTGAACACTTTAATAAACCAATTGTCTGACCGTAGAGATGTTTAAACTGATTTTAAGTACATTTTATTTGTTGACGATGAGCCTGGCTTTTTGTTTTAGATACACCAGTGGTTATTATTTCGAAATATGCCCTCCTCTGCGAAAGGTGCAGTTACTAGTAAGTACCGATAATTTAAATGTTTGAAAACGCCAGGCGTCACTTTTTTTCAACGTCTTTTTAGATCCTATATTTAACCCTGGTGATCTTGTCTGGTCCCAAATCGCAAAATATCCGTTCTGGCCTGGACTCATCTATAGCGAATCTGATGAATCATCAGTGAAAAGCCTTGGTAAGATGTTGTTAATTAAACAGACTAAAACTTCAGCGAAAAAGATTAAAAAAAGATTTCATCTTATAGTCGTTGTTTCATTGGATCGTTGTTTACAAACATGACTGGTGTCTATTTTCTTCTTCAGGTGATCGTGTATTGTATAAAGTATATTTTTTTGACTCTCCCACAACATACGATTGGGTAAGTGAGGATCGTCTGCTACCGTTTATTGGTGAAACAAGTTTTCAACAACAATATGACAATTGGAAGAAAACGGTAGGCTAGTGTTCTCGATTGATTTTTTCGTAAAGGAATATTTTTAGTCATTCAAACAGTGTTTATATCAGACGCAAACCATTTTCATTATTCGTTCCTTTTCAATGAAGCTGAAACTGAGTTTTTTTCTGTATGAATCAACTCAGTCGATCTTCAGGAGAATATACTGTATTATGATATTTTTTATTTACTTTAGTATTCCAAGCGTGCAAAACAAATCGATTCAAATTTATCTGCAGAAAAAAATAACAATTTATTAGACGACATTTACAAAGCCAATGAATTATCACTAATTGATGTTCATGAACGTTTGAAGAAATTTCAAGAACATTTGGATTTATCTGTAGGCTCAGTAGTTGAACAAGAAACAAAAACAGAAATTCAAAAGCCTTTAAAATGTATGTTAGCTCGTGAAAAGTGTATCTCTTTTTATTTTCTTCAGTTGAAGTAACCTTATGAGCTTGGGATATTGTCATTAGTTGTTAGTAAGTAACCGCGGTAATGTGTGACGAAACATGGTAACTTGGTAAACATTTTTTGATTAAAACTTTAGATCGTCATCAATTAAATAATATTCCCCATTAGTTGAGAACCTTTTTTTTTTTAGCCGTCGCCATGCGGTCAACATCATCGCCACTAACAAATATCGAATTTATTAATCATATGTTAAATCAATCTCAATCGAAACGAAAAATTAAACAAGAAAATAACGAAATAAGAAAATCAAAAACATTGAAAACAACAAATGGAGCATCACCATTTCTTTCACGAACCGCAACTAGTAGAAAAAACAAAAGTGATGGATGTTTAGTTTCGAAAATAGATGACGATAATACTGATAAAAAACTAACTAACAGAGCACAAAACCAGATGCATGGAGTGCTCAGAAGTGCACCGGTAAGCTTAACTGAGTACAGCATTGAAAAAGAATCAAGTATAATAAAAAGTGAATCAAACCGAAATTGTATTAGAGTTTAAGAGAGACCATTCTAATCATATAAAAATCTCTCTGACTGAAAAACTCGACCTACTGTTGAATAAATATCACCTTTTAGCTACAAATAATTCTTTTTTCAGAGTCAGCTACAAATAATTCTTTTTTCAGTCATAGAAATTATTAGAATGGCCTCTCTTAAACTCTGATATAATTTCGATTTGATTCACTTAGAAATAAAATTTTAAAAGTTTTTTCCTCGCTAGGAAAGGAAGACATATCGACATAATAGTGCTCGAAACCATCCTCTAACTTCAATGACAACGTTGGGAACGACACCTGGTTTAGCTAAATCCGCATCACCCTTACCAACTGTTCATCCTAATGTTAGTCGTATTGCGCAAAAATCAACTCCTTTATTCGTCAAAATAGCTCCACGACCATTAAATTCGAAAGCTTCGAATCAACTTATGTCAAGCACAATTTCAGATCCAATTATTTTATCACCAAATTCGTCACCACAAAAACCAGTCTTAAATAATTCAGAAATGGCCAAATCAACAAAGCCTTTTAATTATACCATAACATCGCGATCGACAGAGCAAGGAGAAATAATATCTACTGCAACATCTTCAGAAGCAAATCGCCAGTCCTCTAATCGAACGTCAATATTAACAAATTCGCAGGTATTTAATGATTCTTTTCGAAAATTTATTGTTCATAGACGATGATACTGACTGTTCATGAATTATTTTAGTCAATCGATTCAAAACCATTATCGCCACAGTTTTTGACAAATACATCCTTAACAGCGACAAATTGTGGAGCGCCGAAAACATCAGTTTTTCTGCAATTATCATCATCGTCAATAGTCTTAACACCAGACACCGATATGTCATCATCAACGCCCAGAAATTTGTACAGTGACGAACTAACAACAACTTCAACATCAAACATTCTTCCACGTGTTACATACGACACGACACCTACTGTTTCGTATCAACCTTTATCATTAGGTAAGTAAATTAATAAATGAGTATATATGTAGTTGACATCAGAGAAGTATCACTTCGGTTAAACTCAGCTCCGATAAACACTTTTTTTAGTATTGCTGTGTTTCATTAGTAGTTACTTATTTCGTTTTATTTACAAGAGTATGCCCAGAAAAGCATTGCATTTCAGCAATGTTAGTTTTGAAAGCGTCCTTTTTTATTATTCTGCATCGATGAGACAGAGAGAGAGAGAATAAGAAAATGACTCTCTCTATCGATGCTGATTTGACAGGAACGGCGCTCTAACTTGTCTAAAAAGAAGCTCAACTCTAGAGTTGGAGTTGCCCATCTCTAGATGATATAAAGTTGATGTAATCAGGAGAAGTATACATTAGGGCTACTTCATTTATTTTTTCTTGTTTCTGTTATTTTAGGTGAAGAATTTATGATTCTCGATACAATAAAACGTGAATCAAACGGTACATTTAACGATTGTAAAAGTGTTGGAGAACAAACTTATTCTAAAATTGTTCAAATTAATAATGATCGTCCAATAGCGGTGTCAGAATTTTGGTTTTATATGTTTGTATTTCGTTATATTGATGATTTCATTTCGGTGTATCCAAATTGGTTACAGGAGCTTGAACAAATGAAAGGATTAAGAATATTGTCTACAAATCATGAAAAACAAATTAAACATTTAATTCTACTAATGAAAGCTTATAAAGAAAATGAACGTCATTAGAAATAAGCCATTGCAAAAAAACTTATTTTTATTGTGTTTATTAGTATATTTTTCTGAAACAGTTTACTCAGTTTTTTTCTTCTTCTACTTTTTCTTTTCGCAGCAAATTTCTTTTGTTTGTTTCTGTCTAATAATTTGTGATCCTAGAAATAGACTTTCGTTTTTTCAATTCGATCCACTAAAATTTATAAATTTTCTAACTCGTAATCAACAGAGTGATTACTTTGAAAATCTATTTTCTGTGAATATTTCGAACAGAAAAATGCGTAGAGAAAACTAAGAAAAAGATTTTAATTTTTACTAGCAGAATTGTGAATTCGGCTGAATTTAAGCTTATTTACTCTGAAGTACTCCAGATGCGTATCTTTTCTA